CAAGACACATTGGCTTCTTACATTTGTCGCACAGCTTTCTGGTTTTTCTACGGCGTTTTTGCTCTTGTGCGTAACATAAATAGCAAGATCCAGACACAGGTTTTGGCGTGCGCGCTGCGGCAGATGTTGATGCTGCTGTTGACACCATTGATTCCACCGGTCGGTTGAAATATGCTTCAATAGCAATTTTAGTCGAAAAATTTCGCGTCACTTGACGATTTATGGCTCTGGCTTCAATAATGGGCATGCACAATGCTTCAGCCAAGCTGCGCAGGATCTGCTTACGCTTGTTGTTTGTTCTTCAAGGCAACATAGGGTTATTCAAATCGTAGACAATGTAGGCTGCAAGAGCTGTAATGTCCAACATGTTGAAGAACATCGCTAGTGGCCATCGTTTTGTTTGTCTTTGTGTTGGATATTCCGCAAACATTTGGTCCATTCGATCAACACCACCTTTGGTACGATTATAATATTCAATTATTTCAGGTTTCCCACTGTCAGCTATTTCAGCATCATTATGCATGGTCGAAAGCAAAATTACTGCTTTATTTTTTTTGGGAACATAAGAGCACATTGTCACATTATATTTGAAGCCAAATGTCGTTGAACCAATTGTCCTGTTTTTGTTCTGCTTCATTTCTTGAGGAATATATGATTTGTTTTTGCGCAAAGTTCCAACGATCGTGAGTTTCCAGGCGAGAAGCAGTTCTGCAACTGGCAAGGTCGTAAGCAAATTGTCCATTGTAATGTTTCGGCCACTTCCTTGGTATTTGGCAGACAAATCCTTCACCACTCGTTCGCCTTGGTTCGTTTCCCTACCAGTTTCTGCTTGGCCAGTATATATTTGTCCATGCAGTGGATATGCATTTGTGGCATCGCAAATCCACCAAACCTTGATACCATATTTAGCAGGTTTTGACGGTATGTACTGCGTAAACCGTGTGCGTCCACGGTAAGGAAATAATTGGTCATTAATCGTCAAGCATGAGCTGGGCTTGTAATGTGCAGCAAGATTATTGTTCATCATCGTCCACAACTCACTGATCGGTGCTGCTTTATCAGTTAGTAAGCGTGTTGCACGAGTGTTTTTATCGTCAAATCTTAGGAACCGCAATATCGAACAGAAACGGTTGACTCCCATTGTGGCGCGATATAAAGGATAGTTTTTGACGCTCCATAAATCTCGAACATGTTCTCCATTGCTATGGTTCGCACCAGTCATAATAAGTATGCCAAAAAATGCATACAGCTCTGTTATTGACACAGGCGTCCATGACTTAGGAGTTGTGTTTGGATGCGCATTGTTGTAAGCATTATAAGTTTCTTTTGCTAACTTATTTGTGTGGCGCATAATTATATCAGCCATTTCAACGTTCATGAAACATTTGAATGTTTGCTCTATTGACAACATTTCAGTGCATCTAGCTGGTCCAGAACGTTCTCTTATAATATTTTGTCTGAGTACCTGACGACTTACATTTGGTTCTTTCATCCACCTAGTACCATCACGTGCAACAAATTTTTCGGCACTAGCAGGTAATTCATTATTTTCTTCTACTTCTTCTTCTTCATCGTCTTCTTCATCATCCTCATAGTCCGCATAATCAGGTAATACTTCTGCGGCACTTTGCGAAACTTCAGCATCGTCATCAGCAATTTCAATGTCATTGATTTGAATTTCTTCTTCATCTTCTGAGTCAAAGTCATAGGGAGCGTCATCGTCACAAATTTCATCAAATAAAGATTGTATATATGATTCTCGCTGTTCCTCAGTTAGCCTGCATAATAAAAAAAATTAGTATATGTTTACATTGTTGCTTATTTTACATTTTTTACCTTCTATATGCTGCACTTGATAAATATTCGTTTCTTCTTGAAGTCATTTCGTATCCAGTTATTTATAGTTTCAGTTATATTTATTTTCACTTATATTTTCACTTCTTACACTTTTGAGCACCAAAACAATAATGAAAATATCAACAGGCAGCATTTATAACAACACCTCGTGTGAAAACAACCCTTGCAGCTGCATATAAAATACAAAAACCAGTTATACCAGTGTATTTGCTACCTATCCAGCAAAAAACACGATTACCACAGATACGAAAGTGGAAACGAGCTAGGCGATGGGAATCGCTTACCCTATCGCTTCAAGAAGGCCTTATTTTAACATGGGCATGTCATTGGCGGTAAGCCCTTACCCGCAGCATTACCTTCGAACGAAGGGAGAACGCATGGATAAACAGAATCCAGAGAAGCGAGCAAAGAATGCCTTACAGAGAAACTAATGTAGAATGCCTAGATAAGTACATACATACTTTTTTATATTAAATTGAAATCAGAAAATGTCTTAAAAGATTAAAATTAATTAACATTTTTATAGGTCAGTTTTTATACATACAAATGTATGTATTTAGGTATTCAGATTTTCTTAAAAATCGGTATGTACATACATGCATATTTAATTAAGCTTAAAATTGTACTTCCTCACTCTTGTACTTCGCTTCGTTGACTGACTTCAACTTCGCTGCAAATTGAACAAAGCAAAACATGATTTTTATGCGAGACAAATTTCCATAGAAAGTAACGGTAGAAAAAGAATTTTTGGATATTCGTTCTATTTTTCAGCTGACTAAGATGCAGCATTCTACTTTGCATTCTCCGAAATGAAGCAAAGAAGTGAAATAAAAAAAAAATATTGTAGGACATTCTACTTTGCATTCCCTTAAATGAAGCAAAGAAGCGAAACAAATAAAATATTGTAGGACGTTCTACTTTGCATTCCCTGAAATGAAGCAAAGAAGCGAAACAAATAAAATATTGAAGGACATTCTACTTTGCATTCCCCGAAATAAAGCAAAGAAGCGAATAAAACAATAAATATTATAGGACATTCTACTTTGCATTACCGGCAATGCCTAAAAGAAGCGAAAAAATTCCAAGGCATTATAACGGTATGCCTTCTAAAATACTTTACCACTAAAAGCGATTACCGATTTTTTGCTGGGTAGTGGCAGAAGTAAACGAAACTCCTTTCGAACAGTTTTGTCTATATTTCTTTTGTTTATTTAATGTTTAAAATTGGTGTATAAATATCTTCTTCATTATATCACACGTTTAATAACATAACGAAATATTTCAAAATTTAAATTTTTTGGGAAAATGCAATCAAAGTTTTATCAATTCATACAGTTTGTATACAAAAAGATAGATGGAAAGACATATATCCTCATCATATATGGCAAGTATGGTTTTGGATTAAACTGAACATAGTCTACTTATCAAGCTTATTATATGCATAATGAAATCTCCAAAAACGTAAGCTTTGAGTTACATCTCTAAATGATTGTTAAATTGGTTCATAAGATATACGTGATTAAGTGGAACCAATTTTTGTTTTAAGCTGAATAACGGTAAATTGCAAATATCTCAAACGCGTATCCATAGCAAAAATAAATAAACTCGATTTTCGGGATCACGGAGCAATTCTAAATAGAAATTGGATATTGGCGCCTGGAGAACAAAAACCAAACTAAAATTTGTATTATTAAATAAAGAAAGAAATATAGCCAATAGTGGCCAAGAAAGGGAGTTCTATTATTGCCATTAGTGCAAATTACAAATCCTAAAAATTCCGGTATTATTTTCCAAGAATCCCGGGATTTTCGGGACCTAAAAAAGGTTGGGATCCCGGGACTAATATCCTTATCCTTATAAACACATATTAAAATAAGTATAGTAAGTGCATATGTACTTCCAACCATTACGCTTATTGGAATAAATTTACTTTAAGATATTTTCGAAAACTTAACGAAAATGTTTTTTTATGTATTTTTACCACATTTCCATTTATAGATTGTGGGTATTCTAACGAGGAAATCAGAATTGTTGGTGGAAAACCAACAGGTGTAAATCAGTTCCCCTGGATGGCACGCATAGTGTACGATGGAAAATTTCATTGCGGTGGATCATTGCTTACCAAGGACTATGTCTTAACTGCCGCGCATTGTGTTAAAAAGCTTCGAAAGTCTAAAATAAGAATTATTTTTGGCGATCATGATCAACACATTACTTCAGAATCAAATGCAATTCAGAGGGCTGTAATTGCTATAATTAAGCACAGAAACTTCGACCCTGATAGCTACAATAATGATATAGCGTTGCTAAAATTGCGAAAACCTATGATGTTTTCAAAAATTATAAAACCTGTTTGCCTACCACGTTATAATTATAACCCAGCAGGTACGTAAATAAAATTATAATACCCTTGTGCACAAGTGCGCTCGGGTATAAAAACAACATAAGTATTATATGCACACGTTGGATTCATCTGTACCGATTTAAAGTCAGCTTGTCACATTCATTTTAGATTATTGAAAGATTAAATTAAAATATTCTATTTCCCCACCTATGTCGTCACTAGACTTGAATAAAGGCGCTGGTATTTTGACGGCCAAAAAGACGCGTAAAAAGTCTTACGACAAATTACGCTTAAGAGAACCGGCGAAGGAAGATGCATAACCTAGTTGACGGTGCAGAAAGTCGCATAAACATAAATTAATACCTTTCAACGGACTGTTACTTCAGCATTACTCCGCAAAAACTCTTTGGCGAATTTACATACTGTTATACCCGCAAACATAGTTGACGCTGAAAATTACTACGCTTCTTTATCCCCGCCAAGCAGTAAAGTTGCCTTTACTAACAGGGCAGATAAATTGTTCCTCACGTTAAAGTGTTTTCGTTTTCTTATCTTACCGGTAAAAAATAAATTTGTTATTCCGTAGAGTTAAACTTCACTATATTTCGAGAGTGAAACTTCACTACATTCGTCATAAAATTTCAAAGGTTGGCAATGCAACATAAGCAAATATAGAGCAAGAGCAACTGTTAGCAAAACCCAAAACCTTGGTTGAAATATCTAATATATCTCATAGACTCATGAACCACAACCAAACCAAAATTTAAAATTGGGTATACATTTTTAAAGGTTGTATCTGGTGAGCAACAATTTATCCATTCGAGAAATTAGTGCGCTGATGAGAAAACGAAAACTCGTATATGGAGACGATAAATTGGCCGGTAATATAAAGGTTAGATAAGAAAACGGCCCTGAGGAGTCTTTCGTCGCCGTCAACTATCTTAAAAGTCTTTCTTCGCTGAATTTTTTTACGTCTTTTCTCGCAGTCAACTGTTAAGCTCGCGCCTTTAATCGTGTCCAGTGACGATATATGTATATAAACATGGATTGTGCTTTGTTCGGATGCTTAAAACTTGAAAACGACTGAACCAAATTGGATAAGTCCTTCTGTTCGCAAGTGCTACCAAAAAGTTTAGGAAGAAAGAAATTTAGAGAGTTGCCAACTGTTTTAAAATTTAAGTATAAGTAAATTGATATAATAAATGCAATATTACAATATGGGTGCCAAAACAAAGAGGTTTGATAGGGCTCACCGTCGAAAATATTTTTAGAGAAACCCTCCAAATATAGATGAATGGAATTTATTACGATAACAAGAACGGACACCGGGTTTTCACCTTTCATAATCAAAAAAATTATTAACTTCACTTGTGATGCACTGTTAATGAAAACAAAATATATGAAACAAACAAACTACTTAAGGGCCATTTACATAAGACTTTCCTCGCTTTGCTTGACAGTTCAAACTTTGACAACAAAGCGTGAAACGCAGAAGGTATGCTACAATAAACGCTTTGACAACTTTTGCCTTCTCCTTTTCCTCCATATTTTTTATCATTAAAATAGATAACAATATAATAATATGCATTAATAATAGCAATACAAATTCCTATTTACCCTAATTTTGTCATTAAATGCAAATGCAAGCGCACGATAAAAGATACATGTAGACAGCTGATTGCCAAAGGGGGCAAAAGTTGAGAGTTGCCCAAGATTTTGCTTCGTTTTGCTTTGCTTTGCTTCAAACGTTTTTTATGTGAGCATACTCATGCATATGTCTACATCGATATTATATGTCAAAGCAAAGAACTATCAAGCAAAGCGAAGAAAGTTGTATGTGAATCAGCCTTTAAACTCACATCTATGCACAAGAACATTCCGGCAGTGTTAAACTACAGTGTAGTGTAGTGACTACACAAATCACTCAATACTTCTAAAGGGGTAATTAAATGCAATGATTTATGTGAAATTAGGGAAGCAGTAATTCTTGAAGAGTTAAACCGCAAAACATTATTGAAGTGAAAGAAATGCTAAAAAACAATAAAACGAACTAAAAGAAACCGGACTTATTATTATTACATACTTTCAAATCGCAAATACTTCCAGAAACTCAAAAAATTGGATACGGAAGGGTAAAAATGCGCCCCTATATTCCACTACCATTTAGATGCAACACTTGTCTTGGTTTTGGACACGTAAGAAAAATATGCAACCGAAATTAACTATGTAGAATTTGTGCACGAATTTTTCACCTTGATCCCGAATCTAAAGAATTATATACTGTCAAACCAACTTGCGTAAACTGCGCACATAGCCTTCAAGACGATACAAATCACCCATCTACAAGCAAAATTTGCCCTATATTAATTAAAGAAGTCGAAATCCGGCACACTCAATTCATAAAAGCAGACATCCTGCCAACGATTCATTGTACTCTAATGTAGCCAAATTTTAATCCATTTGAAAGAAAAGAAACAGTAAAATAAATTCATCGAATACAATCCAACATAATACGACAAGTATATCGTACGATGACCTTACTATGACCACAATTGGCGAAGACAATGCACCTCCTCTACATCAACCACTACTTTCTCAGTCACCAAAACCATACCACAAAGCTCAGCTGCTAAAAGAACTAAAGTACTTTCCAGAAATTCCTAAAACAGAACAATATCAAAACTAAAAGCAAAAACTAGGGATGTGCCGGATATCCGGTAGATATCCGGAATTGGGCCTATCCGTCCGTTTTTCTGCTATCCAACTATACTAGCTAGAATCCGGCCGAATTTCCGGAGTTTTATCTATATAAAAGTCTAGTTCCGATTTTTTTTTGTATTTTTATAAGCCAGTTTATTGTTAGATGCCATTAGTGACTAAAGTAAACAATTTTAATATTTTTAATTATGAATAGAAGCATTTACGAATTATCGGGCAAAAGTCTGTTTCTATTTTCAACATAAATGCTACCCGATACACTAAACTCACTTTCTGGGTTCACAGAGGAAGGTGGTGCGCAGAGATACTTCATTGCCAGTACTTATAAACAAATTTCGACATTCTTTGAGATTACGTTTCCACCAAATTAAATGATATTCTCGTCTGGGTGTAATGTAGCTGAAAATATTTCTCCATTTTTAAATCGCTGTCTTTTTTCATGTACGGTCGCTATCTTGTGTACCCATCGTTTGCTTATCAACATCACTACAAAAACTAGAGTCACATCAGAGCCGTTGGCGATTTCCTCGTGGCGTGCGCTTTGATGTGGGGAGGGCTACAGTTTTACGTCGACGGTGATTGTATTTTTATGAGAAGCAGGTTTTTATGGCAGAAATACACTCGGAGGTTTGCCATTGCCTGCCGAGGGGCGATCTCTGTTAAGAAAAAACCTTTTTTCTATATTTTTTGCAACGTGGCTTTTGACAAGGGCTTGACTTTAGGCCCGGCGGAGTGGAAGCACGATTCCTCAAGCATTGCCAAATATCCTGGTGAGCTCCCTCTTCGGAAGAAGCGTTACCCAGTTTTAGCTGTATTTACTCACTTTTTTTAATAATCCAACTTTCTTCTTTGACATTTCTCCTCTATTTACCAAAAATAACAAAGGCTTGCAATATTTAAATTTTGTTTCCTCCTTCCAATAATTATGTTATTTTTTGAATATCTAGGAATGTTAAATTAGAATACATCTTTGGTATTTTTCTAGCACGTCGAGATTTTTTTATTGATGACATATATAGTTTAGGATTTTTAGCAATTTGCATGAAAAGATAAAAATTAATTAAGTTAGAATAGAATTTTTACGTAAAACCCAATAGCGTTAATTTAAAATACCCATAGATAATATTATTAAATCAGAAAAACTTTAATAATTTCGAAGTTAACGCTAAGAAAATAACTTTTATCAGTTTTCTTAGCGTTAATTTCGGAATTACATAAGTTTTTCTAATTTACTTAGTCTATTTATGAGAGTTTCTAACTAACAATGTGGGTTTTTAAGTTAGAATGTCTACTCTAACTTTTTTAAATATTTGGCTTTTCATGCAAATTGCTAAAAATCATGCAATAAAAAAATTTCGACGTGCTAGAAAAAATCCAAATATAATGGAATAGAATGGAATGTAATTGTGGGTGGCCGGAAAAACCAAAAACAAATTTTTCCAAGCACTCAAGCAGTATTGTTCATTGTACTTAAGACCAAGAAACAGGATTTAGAGGAAAGGGATATGTAGGTGGGGGGTGGGAAAGCATTACTCCTCTGCAAACTTACCAGACTCCTTTATGAATTTTAGCAATTTGTTGAGGGAAAGAGAACGTACGTCGTCCATTCTCAGTATATCCGACCCAAAAATATACCATCTGAGTCTGGCGAAGGCCAGACAGCGGCAAAGAAAATGTTCTGTACTATTCCCGTCCTCCAAACACGATGTACACAGTGGATCGTCGATGATGCCTATGGTGACCATATGTCGTCCCCATAGATTTTGCCCCGTAAGCAGTCCTATCAGGGCTCGTAGATCACTCTTTCTTTGTCTGAGAAGAAATTTGGCTACCACCCTGTCAGGCCTTTTCAGGAACACTTGGTTATTTTGCAGGTGTCAATAGTGGACCAACGGCTCTCATAAGTTTTGCTTATGAGATCCTTGATGCACCTGGTGGTGTTGGACAAGGGGCATCCGGACGGCCACATTACCACGGACAACTGGAAGTCCGTCCTGATGGGTTTATGCAGGGTATATAAAGGGATATTCCAGAAGTTCCCCGGCCCTGCACCAGTCGTCCGTGATGCTGGATGGCGGCTCTACAAAGAAGCTATCTCCACGGATGGACAGCTGTGCCCCGGGGCATACTTAGTTGCCGTCCATAGGGATGAAATCCCTAACAGGCCGCGAGCCTGGGCCTGGGTACCAGCTGAGCCGTCAAAACCGGAGGAGATACTCGAGTTCATCCGCATGGGCAACGAAGGACTGCCCACCAGGGATTGGAGGATAGCTCGAGTTGGCGAGATCAAGGGGAAGCAGCGTTTTGTTGGCTTTGTCATCAA